GCAGAGATTGTTTAGTTCTTTAGACCATTTACTTACTAAATCCTCGCAATACACTTTTTTGTATGCTTCCGAACCAAGTACAGCTCCTAAGTGCCTTTTTCCCTGAGTAGTTATATTTATGGAGTTGCCAAATATAAGTTTAGCTTCTTCATCTTGGTTATCAGATTTTACTATTAGCCAGCATTTTGATTGATTTACATAATAACCATACAAACCACCGACATCCTCTAGGCATTTATACCACTTTTTTAAAGACTGTAATTTTCCTGCAGCGGTAGCATCATTGGCTAACCATACTTGTTTTACATCAGGAATTACTAGTTTCAATGTATTTATGATTGTCACAGTGCTAAGTGAGTACCATGGCATGGCGAGGGGATCGCCCTGCGTTGTGCCTTCTTTCGAAAAAATAGTTTCTCCACCGTAGATGAATAATTTTGCCGGTTTACGGTAAGTGTTGACTAAATACATAGCTAAGATTGGGCAAGTTATCCGTATATTATGCAGTGCAACAGAACGGTTTAGGCAGTTAAACGCGTTCCTAGCATCGATTAACAAAATACCATCTTCCTGATGAAATATCTTTTGCATAGCATGTATTGCAGCTTCTGCTCCTGCACCGTGTCCTGCGCAAGTTTGTAGTGGTCCAGCTGCCTCTTTGATTTCATTTTGACAATGGTGGCTAATGGTTTTACCTACAATCCTACGTAACACTTCCCCAATTCATATGGGGCAAATCCCGGGATTTTTGTCTAAGGGAATTAGTCGACAAGCAATGTAGGGTTGAACTATATACGGTTGGTAGGATTTTGTTGCAATATATTTTGTAAATGTTGCTATTTCTTCTCATAGAGTCTTACAAGAGGGTCCAAAACATTTTGAGCATAGGACTCGACGGTAAAGATCTGCATCCATTCCAGAAGGACCTGCAGATCCTTTAGCCTGTAAATTTGAGTTAAATATACTTATTTCATCAATTGAATCGAATAAACATTTTGGGGTGTTTTGTAACGCATATTCTTTAACTATAGTTAAACAATATGCGGTAAACAATAATTAATAGTAATCGCATGAAAGTTCACCCGAACATTTAAAGTGTTTTAATTGATTTGAAGCTAGTTGTAGACTTAAAACAAATAAAACTATTGATAAAAATTTGCAATCTTTAATTATTAGAGAAAGAGATTACTGGCGATTACTTTGTTAGATTGCATGTGCAACATAATTTTGTACGAATCGAAAATTAACTTACGTTTTCGTGGTTCTTCAGACAGATTATTTACCTCTAAAAATGGAATTTTTGGGTATAGTGGAACTGTTGAGCAAATATGACCCAACTTTAAACGAATATTTACGAAGCATTTCTTCTGAAGAATCTCATGTAACTTACTGCGGAAAAACAATTCAAAACGAGTTAATTTCTTTATTGGCATCCGGAATTAAAGAGAATATTTTAGGACGAGCTAGAGATGCAAAATATTTTAGTATAATTCTAGATTGCACCCCTGATGTCAGCCATACTGAACAACTCTCCTATACATTAGGATTTGTTGATATTTCAAACGATGAGATAGAGATAAAAGAACATTTTTTAACTTATCAAACTGTTGAAAAATCCACTAGACAATCTTTATTTTGAAAAAGTTGTTGGAAAATCTGAAATTAAACTTAATGAATCTATATCATTTTTAGGAATTGTCCAACGAATATATACACTGTTTTCAGCTTCAGTATTGAGATGGAACATACTGAAAGATCATGAATCCAATCTTTGAAACCTTTTTGTGAAACTCAATGAGAATTTCGAACTGAATGTTTAAAACCAATACGGTACCAAATAGTGGAAATTTACGATGTTTTAGTAACTTAGAAACAGATGAAACAGACTCTTCTGGTATTTCCATTAAACACAAAGATTATACATTATCTGAACAGATAAGTACTTTTAATTTTTTGGTAATGTTTTTTATTCGGTACAATATTTTATACTGTGTAAATATTGTTAGCAAATCTATGCAATCTGCAGCCATGGATATAGCCTCAGAAGTTTCACTTATGAAAACATGTACAGAATTTGTGACAGAATATAGGATAACTGGTTTTGAAAGTTCTCTACTGGATGCAAAAGAGCTGGCTTTTAAGAGCAGCGTCTTTAATATTATTTTAGATAATGCCATAGCATCTTTTCAAAAAAGATTTCAACAACTGATTGAATTTCACCAAAATTGGGGAATACTATATAATCTGAAGAATTTACCTGCGGACGATGAATTACTTAAGTTTTGAAAAGATCTGCACTTGAATTAAAAATGGAAAATAATTGCAGTATTAATGGCGCAGAATTATTTGACGAATTAAAATTGGCCTCTACACTTTTGCCTAATGATAAATAAATAATAATATAATGATATTCTTGGACGTCTTAATATTTTGAACTTTATAAAATTAAGTTGATTGCAAAATGTGGCTCCAAATATTTGAATTTCATTAAGAATAATGCTTACTATACCAGTTACTGTTGCAGGTGGTGAGAGAAGTTTTAGCCAATTAAAGCTAATAAAAAACATTTTACGATATTCTATGAGTAAGGAATGATTGAATAACTTAGCTATACTGTCCATCGAAAATGAAATAGCAAAAAAATTAGACATAATCGAAATAATTAAAAACTTTGCTGATTTAAAGGCTAGAAAAATTAATTTTTAGTATTTTATAAAGTTTAAATTGGTTCCTATTTAATTTAATAAATAAATGGTTTATAATTTATAAAAATGCATAATTCATAAAGAGCACAATTTAAATCCGTGCCCGGGGTGCTAGAATTCCTAGGGCCAGCGCTGGCACTTAACACTTAACAAAACTGGTGTTATGTGCCATTGGGAAAATAGGGTCATTTTATAATAAAATGCTTTGAAAATAATTTTGGGCATTAGAAAGACTCTTACATCTTTATTCATTGAGGGATAACCACTTTCACTAAAATTGGCTTCATTATCATCATCGCTCTTAACCGTTCCCCTCACAAAATCATCTTCTTCACTATGAAAATCTTCAATGATGCCTTTTAAATGCAAAACTTTATTAACCACTTTCCTTTTGACTTATTCATCCTCGTCTAACACTCTAATGAGAATATTTTCATCATGAGAAAATAATTATTATTATTTATAGCTTTATAAAAAATTTTCTTAGAATTTGAATTAAGAAATTTATTGAATCTTTCAATCACATTAAATTTTTACTACTATCAGTTAAATACTTTTTAACTATAAAATCAAACCAACTAAGTACTAAAAAGATTTAGAGTTTTGGTAGGTTTAAAAGTAGATACATAGTTCTACAAGATTTTGTGTGCTAATGTCAGCCAAAAAGAATGGTTTATAAGCCTTTCTTCTAAAAAGGCAAAATCATCATCTAGATTACGTGTGACTACACCACAACAGATGCGATAAGCATAGTGTAAGTCAGTGGATAAGACAATAATGGCTTTATTATCTAGTCTGACAAAACTTAGATTAAGTATTTGGCCTTAACTTAACAGCATCCTGTTTGGAAACATGTCCATTCAGCTATGAGCCAATAGCTCCAGAAAAGTTATGCCATTTGGTAATTTCATCAATTTCCATGAAAATATGCCTTAAAAGTAAAACATTTAGAGACAAAATGCAATTATTTGCTGAACATAACATCATTATTATCTTTAAGAAATAGAGTTAACTTCTTTAGACTTAACCTTACACTGTTTTTATAACTTCACATTTTCATATAGGTTCATTTTCTAAGTTTACATTTTATGTACTTGCTGTTATTCCTGCAATTAAAATGACCTCAGCGATTAAGTTTTAGCCATAATTTCTCCAAGGAAATATGAACTACTATTGTTGAGAAACTAATTATTTGCACTTAGTTGAATAGTTAACCCTTAGCGTTTACTTCAAGATTTTCTCATGTTGCTATAAGAAAATCTTTATGAATGTTTGCACGAGTTATTTGTTTAATACGGGAGGCTGCATAAGCGCAAATTGGCATATGTGCAAACTGGCATAAGTGCGAAGCGTTGCAAAAACTGGCATAAGTGCGAACTGGCATATGTGCGAATCGGCATAGGTGCGCCAAAACATTTTGCAAACTTTGGCATATGTGCGAATTGGCATAAGTGCGAACTGGCATAAGTGCGAACTGGCATAAGTGCGAAGCAGCTGTAAAAACTGGCACAAGTGTGAATGATGCGACCTAATGAGTGTTGGGCGTTATTAATTAATGTATTTGTTTATTTATTATTATTTTTATTATTATTTTGTTTTGAAGCTTTCTTGTCACAAAGCACCACGGAAGAGCATTTAACTTGGAAGTTCACGCTTCTATGTTACCGATGGCACGAAATATGCCCAGATCTCGTTTTGAACAACCTGGATCTCTCGCTTCTAAAGCAAGCTTTTTAAATACTGCGCCACGGCCGTTTATCATCACGCTTTTGTATAACTTTTTTTTATTTGTTTATTACTTTTTTTATTTTTTTATTTAGTTACCCCAAGAAGACCCAACGGTCTTGTCACAGAGCACCGCGAAAGTGCATTTAACCAGTAAGTACACGCCTCCTTCCTTACCGTGACGCAAAAATATGTCCTGAGTTCGTTTCGCACCTGGATCTCCTGCTTCTATAGCCAGCACTCAAACCACTGCGCCACGGCCGATTTTTTAAAACTAGTAACAAATTGCTTCCAAACCAGCAACTTCAAAAGTTTACACTAAATTATTCACAAAAAAAAAAACACCACTAAAAATCTCCGTATAGAACCGAAATCATAATGTTCTATACGGAGATTTTAAGTCCTTTTTGATCCTTGAGTGCGATAAATTGTATCCTATTTATAAGTAAAATACAATTAAATGCACACTCAAAATAGACAAGGGACACGGGACAAGGGGCTCGGGATAGACAAGGGACTCGGGACAAGGTTGCAAGCATTTAGCTATGGAGTTACAAGGAAAAAACAAAATTGCGGAAAAAATAATTGACTTTATTGATAGATAATCAAATGTAAAAAAAAGTGCAAAATAAATTTAAATTATAAGCAAATAAAGTATATATGAACTGAATAAAGAAAAAAGTCAAACGAAATTACTAAAACATAAAGAATAAAAAAAATAAAAAAATACCTTTTAGGTAATATTCAAATTAAGCGTTACTGTAAAATTAGAAAAGATTTTTTGAAAAACGAAAAAATTAAAAACGAAGTAAATAAATCGAATAAAGCAAATATATCGCAAATTCGGGCGAAAATTGAACAATGTCATATAAAACTACTAGAACAATTAAAATGAAATATATCAAACAAAAACAGCGGTAAAACATAAAAACAACTAATAACAAAAAATGTTGAAAATAACCAAATTTAAAATAAAATCGTAGCAGATGTATGTTTTTAAATATATAAAAACTAAATAAAAAAAAAGCAAACTAGAGAATAAACAAGTTGCTACAAAATAGAAGTTTTAAATAGTCATTAAAAATATTAATATTAATAAATAATTAAAAAAATAAAAACTATTCGTTTCCCAATAAAAGATTTGCAACTTTACAGAGTTCATCCAACCTACTGGCAATCATTTTTCTAGTATCACAAACCATGCCTAATAGAATTCGATCGTCAATTTCATTTAAACTGATGACGTTTGAAAGAAGTGGGTTAAAACGAAAATAATTTATTCCTGTCATTTCACACCAGCTTTGAGCGCGATCGACAACATGGTAATCTCTTCCATTCACCTAGCGACAAAAAAATTGCTTTTAAATAAAATAAATACATGCAACTAACCTTATCAGCATTTTTTAAAATAACCTTCCCACCTGAAATATTCAAACAAAAATCTTTTATTATCTAGTATAGTTTTTTTTATAAAAAAAATTACAACTACCTGCTCAAGTATTAGATAAACTAAATCTTTTAATGATCCTACAACTTCTGGCGTTTCCCATATAGTTGAAGGGAAGTGTACATCTATAGGCTTAGCTGGCTCCAATGTATATTGACCAGTTCCTGTCAGTATAAAATTTTTTTATTATAAAATTTAGCCTATTTGATATTTATATAGAATTAGCCTATTTGATATCTATATAAACCTATCTATATACATGAGTCAAATAATTCCAACTACAAACTAAAAACAACAGATTCACATCAGCAAAATAAGGAATGACTGAAGCTAATTTTCATTTTGTTGAAAATCAATTTTGAGATATGCAAGGCACCCTGAAAAATGATCGATCGACTAGCTAGCGAATAATTTTTTTTCTCTGTTTATTCTTTATTTATAGCTTTTTTTTTCTTGCATTAATGTTTGGCTTTAAATTTTTACTTATTAAAAAAATTCATTTTTTTAGTTTTGAACTTCATATATTTATGATAATAATTGAGTTTGTAATATTAATATTTTATTACGCCGCTAGATATCGCCATGCCGCTAGATATCGCCGTGCCGCTAGATATCGCCGTGTTACTAGATTTTTTAACTATTCCCAGCGGGCATTTTTTTTTTAAAGTTACGTTCTAAATGTATTTTAAATGTCTTTTAAACGTTTTATAAACATTCTTCCGTAAAGAACGTTTAAAAGACGTTTAAAAAATATTTAAAAGACATTTAGAACGTAACTCTTAAAAACAAATGCCCGTAGGGTTGATATTATTACGTTATACTGTTCACTTCATATCATTAGCTAAATATTATAGCATTGTAGCTAGCTACAACATAGTGACAAAGCTATATTTTGTTGATGGCTACAAATAACAGCTTTGTAGCTAACGATATTATAACAAAATGTCGATAGTTACCCGGTGGGAAAAAAATAGCAAGATGACACAAGACTTGTTTAAAACGTCTTTTTTTTTTCAATTTCATATGCCTTAAACGCTTCTTTTACCCATAGGTTGCGACTAGCTAGCTATTTTCTAGCTAGTTACTAGCTCATTACCCACCTGATGCATTTTGTAGGTATGCAGCTATCTTTAATTACGGTATATCGTCAGCGACAAATTATAGTTTTTGATAGCTACTACAAAACAACATTTCTACTGTGTACTACATAATGATAGCTACTATGTGACCATAGCCACCTATTGCTATAGCGATACCCAGTGAGCACATCAATGTTGGAACAATATTAAATAATATTTTCATATAGGTTATGATAACTTTTTACTTTTTAAGTAAAAGTTGGCAGTCATCACTACTCGAACAACGATCACACGCTGCAACGATCACAAGCTGTGGCGTATTTGTGGCTACAGAGCTCTTAGGAATATGAATAGTCGCCACCCTATAATTTGTAATAAAATTTGAAACAATGCATATCAACAGTGAAAACTAATTATCTGTTGTCAATAAATTTCACATGGCAATATTTCCACATAGGAAAAACATCTAGTATCCTGTTTACATTCTTTTAACTTAAAATAGTCATGTTATAAAAATACTTTATATCAAATTATTTCTAAATTATTTTTTGATTATGCGTTTTATGGATTTTATCTTTGCTAATAAAATTTATGCCTAATCATGCACGTAGACCACTTATGCAAGTTTACACTTATGCGAGTCCTACGCAGGTTCGTAGTTATGAGGTTTGCGCTTATTCAGTCCAACAGTTCATAGTTACAGTTAAGGACTGGTGATATCATCTTTTTAAGACCCGAATTTCACCAAAAAAGTAAAAGATGAATAAGTCTAGAAGGCTAATTACTTTTTATTTTTATTTTTTGATTATTGTTATATATATATATATATATATATATATATATATATATATATAACTATATATATATATATATATATATATATATATGTATACTATATATATATATATATATATATATATATATATATATATATATATATATATATATATATATATATATATATATATATATATATATATATATATATATATATATATATATATATATATATATATATATATATATATTATATATATATATATATATATATATATATATATATATATATATATATATATATATATATATATATATATATATATATATATATGTATATTATATATATATATATATATATATATATATATATATATATATATATATATATATATATATATATATATATATATATATATATATATATATATATAGTATATATATTACTGTTACCCGCAGTATCAGGAATTAGCTAAATGCTAATATTTATAATATTATATTGCGACTTAAAGTTTCATGTGTTACCACAATCATCAGGCAAGTAGTCAAAAGTTAATTTTGCTACAATGTTTTTAGAAAAAATTTACGGTTTATATTAGTATTTTAGATCGTTATGGGACGGAAACTGTTTAGTAGTTAAGGTTAATGTTATTATTAATTTGTTTTTGGTTAATATATGTGAAGTTGTTGTATGTTTTAATGTTTGTTATAAAAATACGATTTAATAATAATGTGAGCTGTTTTTAAAAATTATTGTATTAAAAATAAATGAATATAAAAATAATTTTCAAATGTGGGTATAAGAATATAAATTATATTACGAAATATATTACAAAAGCTGTATAATTTATGAATAACTGAATAATTTATTGGTTAGCCTAGAAGTGTACGAAATAGTGTTGCGTAGTTAATGTTAGTGGTTAGTTATGTTTGTAGCAAGCTACAAACATAACTAATATATATATATATATATATATATATATATATATATATATATATATATATATATATATATATATATATATATATATATATATATATATATATATATATATATATATATATATATATATATATATATATATATATATATATATATATATTTGTAGCTCAGAAGGCCCATAAAAAAAGACCCACTGAAATAATGATAAAATAATTAAAAAATATAGGCTCACTCTTAGAACCTTATATTTCAATAAATAAAAAGATCTCTTTTATAAAAGTCAAAATGGCAAAAACACTAGATTATCAACAAACGGATATTTAAACTCGCAGACTGTTCGCTCGGTATATTATTTATATAATGTTTACTTTTTATTAAAATAAAAATTAATGATTATGAAAATAAGTAAAAGCGGATAGGAAGAAGCAAAATTTAAGAAAGAAGAAGAGAAACAATACAAAAAAGTTCTGGCAGTAACTAAAAAGATTAGTGAAATTTATCAACCCCACAACATTACCAACTCAGAATCAAATATTAAAATTGGTACAAGTAGAGCAATTGCAACTGAAACTTGTCGAACTGATCAATATGACCAAGCAATAGGTATGGGAATATTAGACAACCAAATAATAAATATAATCCATGAACAAGTTCAAAATGAACCAGTTCTTGTAGAATGTCCAGCAAAAAAGGTTAAAGTGGAAATGCAGTGTGATAAACTCACAGATGTAGATACAAAGTTTCCTGATGATATAAGAATGTGGAAAGTTACTGACGTTTTGTTCACACGTTGGAAGATACAGTATTGGACAAAACATTTGCAACCAACATCGAACAATGCTAAAAAGTGTTCCTAATTTTACATGTCTTGAAAACAAAACGAACTATACTACCACAGCAAACAGTTCAAGAGTCTGGAATCATATCATGCCATGACATAAGCAATCAGTTGAAAGGTGACAGCTCACAGGCAGAATTTTGTTGACAAGTGCTATTTTGCAGCGGACAAAACAAGTGCAACGATTTTGGTTTGTTTCATTTTCTTAAGTCTGGTCCTTGTCAACGTCACGGAATTTTTTTTGTAATTAATGGAAGTATCTAGAAGTTTCCAGAAGTTTCCAGAAGCATGCAGAAGTTTCCAGAAGAAGCATTTGGAAGTATCCAGAAGAATCCAGAAACATTCAGAAGCATCCAGACGCATCCAGAAGCATCGAAAAGAAGCATCGAAAAGAAGCATCTAGAATCTTCTAGAACAGGTTCACACAGGTTCATTTTACTATATAAGAGATATGTAAACCGACATGTAATTCAGTCAGTATATGGAAGTCAATCAGTCAGTATTATCAACGCAGTTTATCGAAGTGAGTTTTATTAAAGTGTTTTATCGAAGAACATCAATAGAAGAAGTGAAATACAACAAGTGTTCATCACATCAATACAGTCCAAATCCAACCAAGACATTGTGTTCCACATAGCATTATTGTATCATCACAAGGTAAATGTAACACGGTAAGCTTTGAGAAACGTGATTATTTATTTTTATTATTTTTATGACTTCAAGTGCAAAAATGGCTCCCGACAGTCTTGGATTGGAACTAAGAAAGAAAATTATTGGAAATTAGGTAAGTAGAATGTCACAAAAAAGTATTTGTGATAAATATCGCGTGAAAAAATGCGCCGCATCAAGACTATGTTCCAAATATCGTTCTACGGGGAAGTTGGCAGCAGATAACAATGGTGGAAGACCACGTTCCACCACTTCTAGAGAAGATTCTATGATCGTCAGATCCGTCAAGAAGGATCCCTTAATATCATCAGTCGAGATACAAAAGCAGTTAGAGCGAAGTTCAACATCATTAGAGCGATGGCATTTGCCGTGTACGTTTAGCCATTTACGTTAGCCATACGACCGTGAAGCATGCTGGAGGCAATGTAATAATCTGGGGGTGTTTTTCTGCTAACGGTTTAGGTCCAATACATCGAATCAATGGAATAATGGATCGTTTCATGTATAAAAATATTCTGAAAGATGTTATGTTACCTTATGTTGAATGGAATATGCCAATAAAATGGGTTTTTCAGCAAGACAACAATCTGAAACACACTGCAAAAGTGGTCAAACAGTGGTTTCAAGACAACCACCTATCGGTGATGGATTGGCCGCCTCATTCTCTGGATCTCAACCCTATCGAGAACCTGTAGGAGATCGTCAACTGCAGAATTAATCGTGAAGGTGTTCGTAATAAGGATCAACTGTTTGAACAAATTCAAAAGGCCTGGGCAGTAATTCACAAAATTTCATTGATTACCTGATCGAATCTATGCCTCGAAGATGCATAGCTGTGATCAAAAACAAAGAATTCGC